ACATGCATGGGCTACAATACATTAATAGTAGCATATTAGCACTCCTCTAGTGGGATTTGTCAAGTTTATGCTTAGCTTTCTCAGATACTAGGAAGCTGCTAGACAAGGCTGGAAATCCTCTGAGTTGTACTGAATTATTATATTGTTCCCTATCCAAACTTCAATGCTAATGGGTTTGGAACACAGCAGAAATCTTTTGACACAAGTGGCTATGAGACTTATTAAGAACTATAAGCACAAAGACTATTGCACAAGAGACTTACAGCTTCCATTGCTTTGGGCACATTTCCCCAAATTAATTGTGTAGCTGGTATGCATCTTCCACACTTACTACCAGAAGACAATACTTTCAGTTGGAAGAGAGTAGTAAAGTCTGTATGACACACTGCAGTATAATTGAGAACATCATGTATCAAAACATTGCTATTGTCAGAGCTGCTTTTCATTGGGATGGATTAAATTCAGATTTCCTCAAACTAAAAGGCAAAAATACAAAAATGCCATTATGTTGATGACTGTGTCCCAAAATTGTGGTATCACATTTAATAAAAAAACAAAACATTGCATTATTGCATCTTAAAGCAATTATCTTTTAATATCACAGAGAATTATGTTGCACTTAGATAATATTACTTACAGACAATTTATAATCTCCAATTTCAATTAGAATAGAACTGGAAGGGACACTGGAGGTCTTCTAGTCCAACCACCTGCTCAAGCAGGAGACCCTATACCATTTCAGATAAGTGACTGATCAGTCTCTTCTTAAAAACCTCCAGTGATGAAGTGTCCACAACTTCTAAAGCAAGCCGAACTGGTTTATTGTCCTCACTGTTAGGAAGTTCTCTTCCTTCACAGAAATCTCTGCTGGATCATAAATGCTGTTTTTAAATAGTTATACAACTTTGAATTCAAGTTTATATTACATCATGCTTTTAATACCATTAACAATAACAGGGACTTTAAAACTTCATTTAAACATCCCCAAATAACTTATTTTTGTTTCTAATAAGAGTTATGATCATACATATGAAGACAGACTTGTGTATGCCTGGCCCCTATAACAATTTCTTCTTTAGCTTAACGAAATAGTATTATGCCTCACCACACTTCAGTTGACTGAGAAATTGAGAAGCCGAGGTCAAGGAGACACCCATTTTTATTAACTGATGTCCTTAACTAATATCCTTAACAAATGATATTTCAGTGCTATATATTTTTGTTTTCTCTTGTTTATATGTTGAATGTAAGATAGCAGTTCACAAATATGAACATTGCAACATCAGTTTTCTAGGGAAAAGATGTTGCCATGGATCTGCTACAAGAGCAAAGTTAACACCTCTCTCCTTTTCACAACAACCACATCCAACTCTATTTTCTTGAAATTATACAGCATGTACCAGCAGTAGATTTGTTATAAGTTGATAAAAAGATTGCCAAAGCCCTTTCTTTCTGTTGTTGCTTTTACTGTTGTGCTGAGAATACTAATTTTCTCCATATTGCAGTACACTGGAATGTTAATTCAATATCATTTCTACTTAGTGATCTCTCTGAGGTTAATGAAGACTTAGTTGTTTCAACTTGGATTTTTTTCAAATGCTAAGCAATTTAATTTTACTGAGAAAGGAAGACATTTGAACTGAATTAGCTATGCCATCGAGGGAAGTTTTTGTAGCATAACTCATGTTCCATATAGCACTTATTTCTCTTATTCCAATTACAATGAAACATGTATTCCCATCAGCTAAATGTATCTTTTTGCTTATCAGGCAATTTTTTTTTTCTTTGATGGTAAAGCTGCACTTTCTCTGACTACCTTAGGCTTCAACTTCTGGGACGCTATTCTGAATCAAAGCAAATTTAATCAGCGTGTCGTCTATGATTTCTTTTTAGAGATATAAGATTGACTTTGTAAAAAAGAAAAGTTTCTTAACCAAGCAATCCCCTCCAGCTCCACTTTGTAATAGTTTGACTCTACCATCTTTCCTTATTTTGATTCCCTGTTATGTACAATATATCATTTCCCCAAAATGAGTGAAATTGGCACATGTTAAACCAACTAAGAAGTCAATCAAGAAATATCTGAATCATTAAGAGTTACAGAACAGGTCATATAAATTCCAGAACAGACTAAAGATTAAAAACTGGTCCAAACAGTTACTATTTAGAAATTAACCTGACAACTGCCATGGATTAAATTAAAAGATTCATATTATTGTAAAGTCTTTCTTTACAATATCTAGTAAACTAGACATTTTTTACAAAATCTAGTAAACTAGAATAAAACTAATTCATTCAAAAGGTGAAAAAATATTTTGAGTTAAAAATATACATGATTGCACGAGATTCGTATAAAATGTCAATATTAATTTGTTAAAACCACTTGGTCAGAAATTTGGAACCTTGGTACATTAAAAAAGGGGGGGTTAGGTTAGTCATATACAGTATATTCAAAATCTGCTACGAACTTAGGCAACTAGCTATAAAAAACTTTAAAACGAAGACGGGAGAGTGCAACTATTATGATTTTAGATTGAATATTATTTATTTATTTTATCTCTTAAACATATTTCTATGCCACTGCAATCAAAGAAACCCTTGTCAGCTGACATAGGAAAAAGTAAGCATCAAACATGCTTAATACAAAAAAATTATAATAATGAAAACACAGTGGCACTACAGTCATATAAAGAAGAAAGAATTAAAAAGATGGGAAAATCAAGGCTGTCCACAAAATTTTCAACAGTTTTCAAAATATGACCCAAAAGGGAACTGCTTCTTCTAAAACAGGGTGTCAAGCTGGGCCAGATTCATCATTTGCAGGTCACACCTACCCCACCTCTTCAAAGGCAAAAAAGTCACGACACGTCACGTGACACATTTGAGTTTGACACTCGTGTTCCAAAGCAACTGGATAAAGATAAACGAGATTATTCAAGATTCTTTCCTCAGAATGGTCAGAACCACACTGCTAATTCAACTAACATGTATTTAACATGTGTTTTGAGAAACTATAATAATAAGATAATTTAATATGTAGCAATAATTTTAATTCAACCTTATGTGTAGATCTCATTTTAGTTTCTTGTCTTTTTTCCTACCTTTATTTTCTTTCTTACCTTTCTTGTCTTTTTTTTTCCTATTTTTTAAAGGTTATTATAATTATAATAATATTATAATTATAAAACAAAAATATTAAAGGTTATTATAAAACAAAAAAGGAGGTACCTCATGGTACTATTTTCTCTGCTCACCTATGAGCAATTACAAATTAAGATTGAAGCCCCAAACAATTTGCATTTTTATCCGTTTATGCTGAAGGACTTTTTCTATTTTGTAGCACTTTCATATCCTTTGTAGCTTTTCTTTGGCAGTGCTCCTGTGATTGCAGGATGGGTGGGAGATTATGTTGTCAATTCTGATGCAAAAGCCATTCTTTAAATATTCATTATAGTTTCTCTTATGTAGCCCACAGGATATCTTATGAAATGTAGCACACAGAATATGATTTACATTGCTTATAAATATGTGGCATTCTAGGTGGTTCTTGACAAGTTATTCACAGCATTTCCAGTGATATCCAGAGAGGAAGATGTTTGATATAAATTCATGGCCTTCTTTCTCTTATAATAAAGACGTCTACACAACAAAACCTAATTTCAAACAAGACGTTCAAAGTAATTGTTATTTTTATCTTGCTTGGATTTCATGCTACCATAGTAATAGTAGAACTATGTGGGTCTCCCTTATTTATTTATATTTTTGTCATGTTATGTAGTGTATATTGGAGGTGGTGACCCTTTGAGCTGCTGTATGCAATGAAATTTCATTTTAATGTATGCCGATTAGTGAACATTTAAAGTGACAATAAAGTTATTCTAAGTCTAAGACTATTGAAATGTTACTAGAGCTGTAAACAATTAAACCATGGCAAAAGAGCATTAAGACAGGAAAGATTTAAATGGGCTTACATTTATTTGTCACAAGTGTGTGTAAATAGCTTTCTTCAGGTATTCATAATTCTAACTCTGCAACTAAAATAAACTTTTCGCTTTTGGCTTTACATCCTCTAACCATCTTCCAATGATGATATGTCAGTTCTGAAAAGGGGATCTAACTACATTTATTCAGAGGTTCTAACCACATTCATTCAAACATAGTTTACTAAACATAGGTCTAGAGGTCCTACTTTGTATAGAAGTCTAAGCAGTTAAATGTAGTTTTATCATGGAGAAAATCTATGTGGGTGGTAGGAGTTCAGAACAACTTGTTGATACATAATCAATCAGACAAATATATTTACAATTCTGTTCAAAATGAAGCTGAGATGATCAGGTACAGAAGAAGAAGAGCAAGTACTTTTACTGTCACATCTTGAAAGATTTAAAATATGTACCATAGTCATTGTGTGTTCAGTCTTTTTAAACACATTCAAAAGCTCACATATGTCTTTTTCCATATTATGTTATTCTCTTTCTGCCTTCAGTACTTGTTCCATTAAAACAATTGATTCATAAGATACAGAGGGCTTTATTTTAATCAATACTTTATGTAACTCTCTGAGCCCAACCTATATTACAGAGATCTTACTGTGGAGATAAAACAAAGGGTAATCCTTAATTAGACCAGCTTAGTTCCTAGAAAAAAAGTGGAATATGTCATCATTACAGTACTAATACTACTATTATTCCTCTTGCAAATTTTCTCCATATCTTTAGTAGTTTATTAAAAGCATTCAAATGCATGCTTTATCTTTGTAATGACTGTGACTAGGCTTAGTTCCAAAATGTTTTGTTTTATCCCTTTAATACCCATGCCAAATAATCATTAACTTTTTGCTTTTGTTAATTTTCTGTATGGTTTTCTGTCTTTCTCCCTACGGCTGTTATTTGAACTCCGTTTGTCTTTTAATAAATTGTACTTCACCTCTTTCTGGGTTACAAATATATGTCCCTGTTTTATTGTACAATGCAACAATTAAATGATGCTTTCCTTTTCAGCGTTCTGTGAAGAAGGATGCCGATATGGTGGGACATGTGTTGCCCCCAATACATGCGCCTGTCCTTCTGGATTCACAGGAAGTCATTGTGAAAAAGGTAATATGCTAATTTTCTGCAAATAATTTTCTCTGACTTAAAAATTGCAATTACATATATTTATACTATTTCAGTTTTTCTCTTACTATACTTGCATCAAGGAAATTGATTGCCCAAGTTTAACCTAAACCAGTAATTTCCCACATGTATGATAGAAATTTGTAGGAGCAGACTAGGTTTCCTAACTTAGGAATTGGGGAGGAATACTGTAAGGTAGGAATTACGACATCAAAATATCTGGTGCTGCAAAATTGGGGAGTTAGATGGATGCATGTTACTGCTCATTTCTTATTGAAAGTAATTCGATGATAATCATCCAAATGCATAATTGTTAAAAAAAGATTGAAAAAAAATGGAGCCAATGTGACACAAAATATTTTGCATCAACTGATCATAAAATTTAATTAGAAGCAGTTGGATAGTATTCTACACAGAGTCATAGGGTACCAGGACAGCAAAGAAGAAAGGAATAATGGCTAGTCAGATCCTGGACAATCGAAGGTTTTTCTGTATGTTGCAGAATACAAAGAAATTCATCATGAAATATGTTTGTATGTTGCCTTTCCATAAGCCCAATGTTCAAAAAATTCTACGTACGTTTGAATGATAATGCACATCAAAGACCAACACTTGTGCAATAATTAAAGAACAATGAACAGGCCTTCAGTAAAAATTAAATATTTCTAATTACCGTATTTTTTGGAGTATAAGATGCACTTCCCCCCCCCATAAAAGAGATTTGGGTGCGTCTTATACATTGAATGTAGCCCCCGCTGTCCCTCCAGAAAATGGGGCACACGGAGGCAGCGATAGGCTATGGCAATCCCTGCAGCCTGAAACAGCTGATCTTCGGAAGGCCAATCAAACCGACAATCAGCTGCTTGTGCTAATCAGGCTGTGCTGAAGCTGAAATTGAAACGGGCTTTTTGCTGCAAAGAGGCAAATTGCTGGGAGGCAGAGGCAGATTTTTTTTCTTGTTTTCCTCCCAAAAAAAGGTAGGTGCATCTTATAGTCCAGAGCATCTTACACTCTAAAAAATACGATAGGTTCTAATTAGAGTTAGGCAACAAACTCATTGGAAAAATATATGAAAGAATAAAACTGAAATATATGTCAATAGATGTTGTATAAATTACCAATAACTAAACTGCATTTAATAATTCATAACTAGTGGCTTGACATCAGTACCCACTCCCAATTACTTAGTATTTTAATACTATTATTCTTGATATACCTAATAAATAGTAATTAAAACACCTGATGGTCACACATGAATAATAAAGGTAAATCAAGTTGAAATAGAAAATTAGGTGCACTCATAACAATTCAAATATTGGCTTGCATTTTCCAAAGCCACATAGGGATAAGACTGAGGCATAATTTCTTAGCAATTAAAAACAAAACAAAATAAAAACCAATGATACCAGACAAAGATTTCCTAAGGCATCGCAAGCCATATCTGGCCTCTTATCTCAAGCTCATTCAGAATACCCTGTTTGCCCCAAAATAATACATCCCCTGATAATAAGCCCAATCAGACTTTTGACCACATGGCAATAATGCCAAGCACTTATTTCAGGGTTCAAAAATAAGACAGGGTCTTTCTTATTTTCAGGGAAACATGGTATTATTTTTCCTTAGTATATATTCTAAAATATAAAAATACAAAAGCAAAAAAATAGGAAAAATAAAGGAGAGAAAAGGGAAGGGAAAAGTGTAGAAAATAAAGGGGGAAAAAAAGAAAATGTGTTGACTTCTGACTCCCTTTGGTGCAGTAGAATAAGATAATAATGTCAGCGTTCCAATTTATGATCTCTTCCAGCGCTGACATGAATGAGAGAGGGAGAAGCTTTGCTTTAATGCTGAGATGAACTTTTACCTAGTTTCCTGCTCTTTAGTAGATAGCGTTACCTGGGAGATAGAGGGAGGGGGGAATTCCTGTGAATAGAAAGTGCTTGGGACGGAGAGATGGATCTGCATGATGGCCAATGAGACATTGGGGTTGAAGAACGGAAAGGGAGGCGTTTGGAAGGAGGTGCCAGTTTTGGCTGCACAAGAGTTCAGGGATGATGTTATTTCTATTCTTAAATAAAGAAAGATTCATTAGAGACTTTGCGTTTGAGAATGAAGTTTATTTAAGATAGCAACGAAACCTGACAAATAACATCAAACCTCTACTTTTACTTTTGCATAATAGTATAAGCTAGCCCTTTCTATAATAACAAATCTATCTACATGTAATTGGAAAAACCCAAAATCAAACTTTCATTTTTTTCCACTTTTCCCACTTCAAGCACAAAGTCCAGAAGCAGTTTCGAAGTAGAAAAAAAAGCAGTTGTGTTTATTTCTTTAATCAAAGCAAGCAATTTAGCCATCTCTGCTAAAGCCAGCTGGTTCAGAATATTAAAGATAGAATAAACCTTTGATTTGTAGATGAACTGTTTCAGTGGTGGGTTCCTACCGGCTCACTCCGGATTTTGCAAACCAGTAGTAGCAGCACTGGGAGGCTCTGCCCACCTGCCCGGACATCATCACGGATGCTCTGCACATGCGCAGAAGCGCCCTCCCCCTGTGCGCGTACTTTCATTGTGAACCGGTAGTGAAGGTAAATGGAACCCACCCCTGGACTGTTTCCTGTTGTGTGTGTATGGAGGAGGGACATATTCATATCATCTAAATCTATAATTTTGCAAATCTAATGTTTGCAGCAAAAATATATCAACCAATCAGATACTCCTCTCCACAAATTAACTAACTATAACCTGCTATTTTAAAAAAAATTAAAGTTATTGGACAAAGCAGCCCATTGCCATTGTGAAATAGCAACATGCTTGAATAGAGAAAATATGAAACGGTCCAGTGCTGTTTTTGGTCCAAAATGCAGTATAGTTAGATAACACCTCTGCTTTGCAAATTCCATTGTAGTTATTGTGGTTGTAAGTCAAGCGGGACCTGATTTTACCACAATTTTTACAGCAGTTAAGTGATTCACTATAGTTGGTAAGCAAACCACCTAGTCTTAAACAATGCAAATTGCTTAATGGGCAAATCAGAAATCAGAAAAAAGATTGCAAACTGCAATCATGTGACCCCAGCACATTGCAATCAATGATAAATGCTGCCTGTAGCGATCAGTAGGCCTTCAGGTGCAATTCAATGTGTTGGTTGTCCCCTACAAAATACTATATGGCAGGGGTGTCAAACTTGTGGCCTGCAGGTCGGATGCATCACATGCTGGCCACTCCCACCTACAGTTTAGCGAAGGGGGAAAAAGTCACACGAGTTTAACACCCCTTCTATATGGTGTTGGATGTACCTATATGATGGATTGTCTTTGTGCCATTGTTTCAACCTGTCCTGATGTCAGCGTCTCAGCACTGACATAGAAAAGGAGGGGACACCTGTAAGATTAGACAGAGTTAACATGCTCTGATCCCATCAACTAGGCAATGTCACTTCCACCATCCATTCCTGTTTTGTTGCCAGATGTTTTTCTGTTTCTTTTGTTTTTCCAGTTTGCATACCAGCCAGAGTCTTTGAAACGTTGGGTGGTTTTAGCAGTAAGTTATAAATAGTTTACACATACATACTACAATACTGGAAGCCAATTAAAGCTGCTCTTTCTGCCCTGTTAACTAAGAAATGATTAAATAGCGTATAGTGACTAAACTGAGGGTTTTGAATTAGATGGATTGCAAAAAAAAAAAAAGTAGCTCTGAGTTTTTTGATGTAAATAACAATTATGGTAATATAGAGAATTTTAAAGGTTAACAAAATGTTTTTCTAATTAGAGGAAAAGATGGAGGAAACATACATTGCATAATGCTAAGGGCTACAGTGCCCTGTAAACTACCGCCACTTGAGGTATTTCATTGACAGATTAATACCATTGTTTGGAAGTGCCCTGAGTGGAAAATTCATTCCTAGTTTTATATTTCAGAAAGGGAGGGATGAGGGGAGGTTCAAAGGAAGATATATATTGAAAAAATGCTTAGTGAATTTCTATGAAGAAAATACATAAATTCAGAAAGGAGCTGTGCAAATAAGAACAATATATTATTTCCATGCAGAAGCAAATGATATTTCTTAAGATCTAAATACAGTGAATCCTGAAATAGTTATGGTAAAAGAGACACTTCTTTCCTCTTCTTCCCCATGTCTTAGTATCATTATTACTACCAAAAGTATATTATTAGTAATGCTATACTCTTAATAACGATTGATTGGTCAGTTCAATACAGTTCAGGTTCTTTTGGAGAAAGAGATTTATTGAGGATAGTGAATTTTATGAAAGACACAGAAGTGATAAAATTAGGCTCAATGGGAACACTCATGTTTTATTTATTTTTTGTTATGAGTGGGATAAAAAGTGAAATGTTATTGGACTTAAAAGTCAATTGTGCCATTTTCTTAAGAGAAAAATTTGCCAGAGATGGTGGCCTTTGTAAATTAGTGGAATTACGAGAACACTAAAGTTTAACTTAGGCTTGTGTTTTGGTACTGTGCTGAGGAAAGTTTACTGAATGTAAGGGGATTGTGAAAAAAAATTGTGTCATAAAATAAAGGTATATTTACTTTCTTATGATTTTCTCTAAAATGCGACATCATTGGGTATTTTATATAGACATAGCAAGTTCTACTTTTGTGGTGAATTGGAGGACCTGTAGTCTTGCTTCTTGATAATGAACACAGAAAAACAGAGCCATCCAATTCCAAATTCATGGTTATTTTTAAGGATTCCCCTTTGTTGTTGTCATTCATTTTTCAACAACAAACACATTCCCCATCATCCCTTTTGGCATTTTATATTCTTTAGGTTTTATTATGGCTTCAGTGGCTCAATCTATTTCCAACCAATTAAAGATTAAGTGACAAAACTGAAAATGTCAAGGCATCTAATAGATAACTAGCTTTTACTATGTGACAACATCACTGAAGGCAAAGTATGCTATTAATTTTTTTCCACATTTGTTCTGAATGTATGCGGCAGGGTTGACATT